GTAAGTACCAATTATTTGTGTCATAACAAAATAATAACACTAAATCTTATTCTCTGGATTAAACGAAAGCTAAAATAACTTTTAGAGTGGAAATTCTACCTTTTTTCAATGTTAGATACAAACATAGAGAACAAGTCATTTAGCCTCAAATTTATGCGTTTAAATTTTGTTGTTGGTTGGCCCCAAAATGCGCAGACTGTCACACACAAAGACTGATTATTTTAAGTTTATTTATTTGTATCTAATTACAAGAGTTTCAATTCATAAAATATATTTATTATATATCGGTAGTAATAACTAAAGAAATGAAAAACGTGTTATTATTTGAGATGCTTAGCTTTGCCTTCCAGATTATATCAAAAATTTCTTTTAAAATTTTATTTAACTTGCGCAGCGCTAAATGAGACGCATAGAGTCTCATAGTTCTGAGAACCATATTTTGAAGGTTTTGCTATCGAGAGATGTTCCTGGTTGTTGTATCTGAAACATAGAAATTCCTAATTTTTATGACTTTGTTGTACGCTTTATTTTGGAGCTTAGGTCTGCCTTACTTTATAAATTTTCCCGTCATGTTTACGTCTTTTATGACGCAATTACTGAGCAATATACATATCTTGATATTTAAAATTCAGATACCATAGTTCAGATAGTTTTAAATATTCCGCATACAGAAATGCAAAATAATGTGAAAATGGTTTAAATAAGGTTTCTAATAAAGCAAGTCTTGACGTAAAGGAAGACCGTTGACGTAATTTGTGCTATAAAGATTAAGCTGCTGTTGATGGCCTTGTAAAATGAGTAAAATTTCAACTAAAATACCATTGCAATTTTCGAAACAAGTTATTGAAATATATAATAACCAGTTTTACAGAATTAAATGTCTACGCATTTTAATGTCGTTCAACCTATCAGTTTGAAAAGAGCTCGTTTTCTGGCCTTGTGAATGAGAGAGTCATTTTTTATTTGCCTATATATTACCACGAAATGTGGATTTACCAGTTGATTTACCAGACAGTCGTTCAAAATCGGTGATGAATTTTACGGTAGAAGAAAACTGTGAAAAGAAATGTTGCGTGCAATGAGCTGCAATTAATTTACGACCTGCACTCACATTCAATACATACTCGAGGAAACATTTAGACGTTACATACTTGCAGGAAATATGTTAAACATATATTTTTTAATACATTACCAAACGCTTATTTCTGTCTAATAATATGCATAAAAATATGAGCCAAAAATGATTTCATTTATTCTTAGAATGAGATTTTATGTTACTTTAGTTCAAGTGCTTTTGAAGAACTTTTGATTTAATCTACAGCTTTGCAGTTCATAGTCTTGAATTTATACAAATATTTGGACTTTACAAAATTTATTACAGAATAAGGAATGTATCCAGCCTCAAAAATTTTTACAAATATTTTTCTGCCTGATGTTACTATCGTAATTTATATTTAAATAAAGACTGAATTGATTTATAAAGTCTGTTATCTGTAACACAGAAACGCATCAGTTGTTAATTTGTTTGCCTATTAATAGTCAATAACTAAATTGGCAATAGCTAAGTGAATCTTGAAAACCGATTTTATAAGCTTGAAGGCGCAATGGATATGAAATTTTAAGAAACATATACACAAGGATTCTGCAGGGCAGTAGTGAATTATAGAAGTCTCTATACAGTAGATCCAGCATAAAGATCAAATCAAAATGTGTGCTTTGCAAAATGAATAAACTCCAAATACACATACATATATTTTAAACAATGTTAACTTATAATATTTTCATGCGTAGCGAACAGATATAAAGATTTCAGGCTTTTGCAAGTGTAACGAAAACAAAGAATCACTTGTTATAAAAAGTTTCTCATCGAAGGTAAATACTCAAAAATATACTAAGAAATTATAAGGTATTTTCTCTCGCCTTCCAGCATGCCTTCGTGGTGTAGTGGTAGCACACTCGGCGCGCATTCAAGAGGTCCACTTTCGCGCCCCGGCCAGGGAATTGCAGATTTTTCACATGTGCTTGAAAAAACCTAATTAACCTAAAAACTGAAAGGTGGTGGACGATAATTCGTCACCACCAGGATTTGGCGATAGGGTCCTCTTCTTCCCAGTTGCCATTTAAAAGGGGGAGTAGTATTTTCTCCCCCTTTTAAAGGACAACTGGAGTATTTTCTCCCTCCCTCCGGTATGCTTTTGTGTTGTAACGGTAGCACAATTGGCGCATATTCCTCAGGTCCGAAGTTCGAGCCCCGACAAGAGAACTGCTAATTTTTCATGTCTCTATTTTCTGTAGGATGATACAGCAATTTTTTTGTGCTTTTTATCACAAAATTCCGTCCACATAGTGCTCCCAATTATTGAGTACTATTTCACTTCTTTTGATTTAGAGAACACAAAAAGCTACCCCAAATCAAAAATATGATCACCAATAATACAACCTAAAGTCGCAGTTATTTGTAGACAGTTAATGTAAAAATATCAACCAACCAATATTCAATCAATCATTATTCCTATACGTTAAAATAGCTGCTATGCTAGAAAAATTTTTATAGTCTCCGTCGAATTTATTGTCTCAAATTCTTTGTTTTGACCACAATAAAATAAAAGAATATGATTGGCTAGTAACTTCTCTCGAAGGTCTGATTTCTGCAAGGACAAATTAGATATGTGCCCTGATCTACAGTTTCAAGGGGACTTCCTAATCACCCTAAAGTTCATAAACAGTCAATAAAAGAAATCAAATCTAAATTAAAATCAATGAAAGGAATTATATCTGAAACCAATAAAAGTAATTAAATATTACTGAGCAGAGATTAATTAGATGAAGCTTCAAGCTGGCTCTAATTAACACTTCAGCTTACACTTTCCAAAATTAATAAGGCATTCTAATCTAAGCTACAGATTAGTATCCTTTGTAATTCTTGAAATGTTTGGAAATACGACAATTATTTAATATTATTGTCTACCAATTTGTCTGTAAAATGAATAATGCGTAATTTTATGAAATATATAAAAATAAAGGGCATGATATTATGTCTACAACAGACTTCTTTGTCCTTTCTTTTTATCATTCAAGGCTGCTTAATTCCATCTGGGAACTCGATACACTGATAATAATGGCTTCAACCGGTCAGCCCCGGGACATTTATACACGGAAATCAGTAAATGCGCATAAAAATGGTCTTTATCTTAAGTTCCAAGGCGAAAGAACTTGTTTCAGAGCATCCTAATGGAATTCTAATCATAAAACCTTTGAACGAATTTTTAACAAGAAACAACGTTATAAGGTTTTATTATGTCTTTAACAATTAAATTAGCGTAGTTAATTATTGATTCTTTGCATTATACTACATTTATCCATTCTAAAAATACGTAAATTAATCTTTAAATAAAAAGAATGAAGAAGAATATAACATATTAACAATTTAACTGTCAGTTATTTTCGCAGTTAATTTAAATTACTGGTAAAAAATGTTACAGTCATGAATGCGCAGTTCAGAGCATTTAAATATATTGTGAGCAGTTTTTAAGTCTCTAATCACTGATGTTATTTAAAATTGTGGCAAAAGAGAGAAAATTAATCTGTTATTTTTTAAATTTATTTCATGGATACATAAATGTTTCTTTACTCTTTCTTATACCATGATAGAAACGAAGAATGTAAAAAAGACTTTGGAGCAACGCCTATAACTTTTCTGTTAAAATAATGAGATTATTTGCCTTTAGTCAAGTTTTTCGGTAGTGATTTTGAATATATATTGTTGCGTTATTTTCTTTCTTCTCCACGTTATTTACGTTATGGGTTCGTGCGGAGTTGGAGTGAATAACGACGACACTCGATGAAATATAGAAACACACTTTATTGGCCAGTATTAATCAGGACAGCTCCAAAGTCACGTTTTACAGTCGTCGAAGATCTACTATAAACTCGCTCGAACAATCAGCGACACAGCCTTCAGGTTATCAGACTATAACGGTGGAGACAGTTTCACTGCAAAGCACCAGAGTACAACTCCCGACTCTGCTTAGTCGTTCTCGGAACTCCACGTACTCTCGAGACTCTCCACGCTACAGCTCGCGATGCACTCGACGACACACAGAGCACAGCTCCCGACTCTTCGGTTCAGTCTTTCCCGGAACTTAACATACTCTCTCGACGATGCACTAACCGCGATACACTAAGAGACACTTCGACCCACTCGGCACTCGCTGCCCGGCTGCTAACTCGATCGACTCCGTACGGACTGAGTAAATCGGAACTAAGTATCTCGCACTCGCACTGACGCTCCGCGTACCAACAGGTTTTATATAGTTTTTGGCTTGTGTTCGAGAACATTCTGGGATAAACCGGTAAGAATTCGTTCCAGAAGATTCTCCATCCGTCCATGGCATATCACCAATTTTGTCGCCAAATGGGTGATTTCTCGCCAAATGTGGCAATCCTGCCTTTCCTTCTTATTTTATGGCAAACCTAAAACTGCTTTGCGGGGAAGCCATGTTACCGCGCTTCTACATTTCGTAACAATATAATAGAGCATATCAAGGTTATTTGCTAGAGGAAAAGATGCATTTCTATTTCTTCTTTATTACTTATGCAAGCGAATGAATATAGTCTCATGTCTTTGCTAAAAATCATTATTTTTATTTCAGAGCATGCCAGTGCTTTCCTTCGAAAACTCATAAATTATTACTTACTCTCTCGTAAAAGAATTTCAATTAAATATTCCTCTTTTAATTAGTATTCTTGTTATAAGAAATGGGTTTCAGTTATTATTCGTATTATAGTTATTTATTCGTAATAAATGTATTCCAGAATTGTGTAAAATGTAAGATTAAATCGCGGCTTGCAAACTGATTTTAAATTTTCGGGCATCACGTTCTGTCCTTGGATAAAATATTGAAATAAGAAACCAATATGTAGTCGCCTTTGTCTTATATAGCGAATAAAACTTGTTTTATGCGCGAATTGATAAATATTTATGTACATCTCTTATTTAGTCATAGATTCAAGTTCCAAACTCATGGATGGCATGCTTGTTGGTTCCTTGTCTTCATTCGGCGCTTATGACGAATGCGTCGACACGGTAGCCATGAGCAGTAGAAGCAAGAAAGAACTTTTTAGAGGCCAGTATTGCACCCTAGATTTGAAACCTCCTATTCCACCTAAGAAAGATTTCTACAAATTAGATGAAGTGTTGGATGAATTGAAAAATTTCTCTAAAGGAGAATCGGTGAGTTATCTCAATACTTTTAATAGTGATAGAGGTAAAAAAAAATCTGAAATGTTTCAGATTTAAAATTACGTCCAAAGGGGCGTTTTTTTAACATTTTTTCTGTTACCATTATTTATTAAATATCTCGTTCATGTCTTTATTAAATATCGCGTTCATGTCACTTAAACCATAAAATTCAGTTCAGGAGCAATATCGCAAAATAGTTTTAAATTGAGCATATCTTTAGAGTTTCTGACACACAATCTCAAAGCGCTGGAGATAAGAATGTTTTTTCAGTACAACGTTGCCATTGCTCGCTTTGAAATCCTTGAGTTTGTTAATGAAAAATTCGTTATAGTTTTACAAAGTATGAAATCGATGATAAAACAAATTCTAAATTTCAAATTTGGGCTTCTACATGCCCATATTCGCAGGAGGATTACGTCATTCAAAACTCGATGGCTCTATGAACAGTTGTTTTATCACAATGCGAGAAATATACATACATTTATGCACATTTTTAATTATTTAATTTCTTCAAATATAATGGACTCTAACATTTGGTGGCAACAGTTTCAAAAGTGAAACGGACATTTATAGTAAACCAACGCAAAATCGCAAAACGAAAAAGAAAAAAAAATCTGAAAGTTTTCAGATTTTCTTACCTTTATTTATTAAATATCATGTTTTTTACGCTTAAACCATGAAATCCAGTTCAATAGCACTGTCGCAAAATAATTATAAAATGAACATATCTTTAGAATTTCCGATACACAGTACCGCGCACAGGAAATAAAAAGGTTTTTTCCCTCGTAGAATGTTGCCATTGCTCGCTTTTAAATCATTGAGTTTGTTACTCAAAAATTCGTTAAACTTTTACAAAATCTGAAATCGATAATAAAACAAATTCCAAATTTCAAATTTGGCCTTCCACATGTCCATATTCGTAGGAGGATGACGTCATTCAAAATTCGATGGCTCTACGTACCCGTTTTATCACAATGCGAGAAATATACGTACATTTATGCAGATTTTTTATTATTTAATTTCTTCAAATATAATGCAGGACTCTAACCTTTGGTGGCAATAGTTTCAAAAGTGAAACGGACATTTATAGTGATTCAAAGCGAAATCGCAAAACGAAAACAATAGTCCTTCAGGGACAAAGCCCTTTTGGACTAACAATAGTCCTTCAGGGACAAAGCCCCTTTGGACTAAAAATGATAGATAAATAATTATAAATTACTCAAACATTTTATTCTAAGTACAAAATGAATGGTATAGGAATCTCAATTTAAAGTGTCAGTAGTTGAAGAACGGATTTCAATAACATTGATTGGTTTAGTGTTCTAGTTTCTTAGAAGCGTATTAATTTCGTGTCTTATTCAGTTCCTTATTATTATTTTATGTCCGTTAGCTCTGCAAAAATTTATTTCTATTGTTTTAGGTCGTAAGTGAGGCTGCAAAGTACGCCCATTTCTTCCATTTCCTGTCGCTACGTTTAGGTATATGTGTTCCGTCTGGATGTACTCTGGAGGACATCGATAAAATGGCTAAAGAATGTAAGAAATCAAATGCAAGACAAGTATTGTTTTATTCAATTATGCAGTTATTACCCTGTGTTTATGGAACATATCAGTTTGTAATGTAATGTATGCGAAGACCGGAAGTATCTTCTTCAATAAGTTTTATTTGTAACGTTAATGTTCAGAATTATAAAATTTTTACTACGTACTTTTAATTCGTAATTTAAATCAACGGAACTTAAATTCAAAACTACTGTCATTGTAGTATTTTCATATTCGTATTTAAAATTCGTTATGTATAATTACTGCACGCATAGAAGTAACAAGATTGGAAATTGGAGCACTTCTTAAAGGAGACCTGAAAGACTTATTTATTCAGTGCTCAAATGTAAGTCAGATTACATTTAAATATATAACATTATTTGGAATTTGATAAATGAATTATTTAGACAATGGTGTGTATTGGTGTATTTAATTATGGCAAAGCACACGAGGGCTCTCTGCCTAAAGGGAGGGATGCCTTTCGTGGAGGACTTTCTAAGGGAAACTGGCTCGTATACACGTTACACATGGGGAAAACTATGAAAACGCCTATGCAGCCAGCCCGTTCGCGGGATTCGAACCTCAGACCGAACTACCAGTGTTCAGCGTCTTTACCGCTCGGCCGCTGGTGGGCTTATTTAGACAATGAGGAAAGGAGAATTTGAAACTGAAATGAATTTAAGAAGCAGGCTCTGCAAAATACCTTCGGATTAAAACACAGAAAATATAATTAGAAATTTAACTTAAATTTAATTGGATTGCATTACCTAATCATGGTAAGATACTAGACGGATATTCACTTAATATCCATTCCAGTATTGATAGAGACAGGGTTGGAAGATGAAATCTTTGACGTCAACAGCAACTCTCCAAAGGCAGTCGGTATCTCGGTGGAAGGAGACGTTGATGGTGGGCATCTGATCCCATGACCATCCTGTCCAGAAGTCTTTTCGATGGACAAATTTTAATTAGCCTCAATCCGCAAAGGCATCATTTTAATAATTATCCGTACCTTATCCATATATTAAAACCTTTTCCGGGGCCTGAGACATATTTGTCCTGTACGTTCACTACTTCAAATGTGTCAAGAAATTTCAATGTTTAATGGAGAGATAAAATGTTTTCTTTAACATGGAGTAGGAAGCTTAAGACCCTGTTGATTTGTTTTCTAATCCTTCCTATAAAAATAGCTGACTAAATAGCCCTCATTCATAACTGGTCCCTATAGCTCACGAAAAAAGGTTAAATTCAGTTTGATAAATACAAGAGGTGAATAAAAAACGAAGCTAGGACTTTTTCTGCAGCATCTGTCTCAGCATGTTTTCTAATAAATAAAATATACATTTTTATGATATTGAGAAGTATTTATTAAATTAGTCTGAGCCCTTATTAAGAAAATAAAAGTTTAAAATCGGTTTAAAAGAAAGAATAAAATATATTTCATGAAATACAATATTTCATTAAACTTTAGACAGGTATCTTTACGACTGAAGTAAACACAAGGCATAAATGTCACTTAAAACAATAATGTCTTTATAACAAAATATGGTATATAATCACACTTAAAAGAAATGGAAATATTTTAAAATTTTAATGTCCTCCCAGGCCGGTTTACTAATATTTCTTGATAGTTAATAACTGAGTTACTGCTAATATTGATTTTAATTTCTTAATTGTTTCTCCTCGTCAGGAAAATATATATATGCCTCTAAATTCTCATAATTGAAGCGTCATGTATTCCAATTCATGAGCAACGTCGACAGGAAAATGCTTTTGATATTCAGAATATTCTGTAGTTTATAACTGTAATGCTTTCCCTTCGATATTTACAAAATTTTATTTGCTCTTAGTTTCGTAACTTCTTTTATGTTCTCGGAGTTTTTTATAACTACTTTTGTTCTATCGAAAATTTAAATACTATGCTTTTATTATTAATATTTATTTTACAATTCTAGTATTAAATTGAATTTTTTAAGACAAATTCTTTATTTCAAAATTTTTACTCATGTTCCTTTAAAGTTACTTTCAATGAGCTTGTTCTGTAAAACGCAGCCATTGGATGTACTGCTGAACGTAAAACCTGTTTTTATCATTTCAGTAGGAAAATGGCTGGGATTTAGTGCTCAAGCATCTAGATGTGAAGTGAAAGAAGAAAACAAATTTACTCCAGTAACCGTTTTTGTCATGTAAGAGCAGATGTTTACGTTTTTCTGTAATTTTTGTAATTCAACTATTAAATACAAGATTTTTAAATTTAAAGTAACATTAATTATCTATTATTATAGTTTTTAGCGGATGTTCTATATTTCGCAATGTCATAAATATATCACAATTTTTTAATTTACAGTTTGTTCTTTGGCTGATGTTCTATACTTCCTAATATCAGAAATATATGACATTTTTTAAATTTGCAGTTTTATTTGGTGTAGGAATAAGACTTCCATTTTTTATGTAAATAAAAGACATCTGTTAGTTTTCAAATGAAAGGTCGATTTATTCAACATATTTTTTTATCAGAAGCTAAGATGTTCGCCCATTTGACAGGCAAAAGAACGTATTTCGTAAAGAAGTCTGGTTGTTTTGAAGCTACCAATCATCAAGCCAATTTTTCACATTCTCAGTAGCAGCTAAATCCCTTTTTAGAAAACACGCTGAGCATGGATCGGAAAACAAATTGTAGGGACAACATCTGATGAATACAGTGGGCGAGTTACCTAAAGAAGTGCTTTTGAAGTTTCTTTGACTAGTCCTTCAACATGTGGGCGAGTATTGCTATGTTGGAAAATAACCTTGTCGTACCTTTTGGTATTTTGCGGGCGTTTTTGTTTCAGTGCTTCGTTCAGATTGATTATCTGTAGTTTGTGATGTTCAATTTTGATTACCTGTTTCGTCTGCAATAGCTCATGGTAGTTTAAGACCTTTTGATCCCATTAGATGGATTTGGACACACCCATGCATTTGGTAGTTTAGAATTATTGGAGTGAATCTATGTTTTGTTATCAGCAACAATTTGATGCAAAAAAAAAAAAAAAAATTCTCCTTTGTCTCTAAAGCAGCAATACACTTATAGTATTTTAACTTTCGATATACCTCTTTTCACTTTATATGGGATTCAATTTTCTTGGCTTTAAAGAATTACCATCAAAAGTAAACATTGCGAAATGCACGCTTGGGTAATATTTAATAAAGCAGCCAATATGGATTGTGTTTGGAAAGGATCTACATCTAGTTATGCTTCCAGTTCTTCATTTTGAAATATTTTGGATAGTTTCCAGGTTCTGTCATGTGCGTTAAAATAAGTATTTTTAAACAGTCAAAACCACTTTTTGTAAATTATGCTTGATGAACCACATTCACCCAAAACTTCCAACAGCTAACGGTACTTTTCTGCTACAGATTTCTTTGCAATAAAATAATGAAGTAAATCTTTCGGCAAATGCTATTTTTTTGAACCAAAACTCGGTGACTTTACGTGGTAATAATAATTACTGTTTATACTTTAAAAGATATCAGATATTACTAATTATTAACTATTGATCTCAAAATTTTTAAATGCAAGTGTTTCCAGATTCAATTGCGTACAAGCAGCACTGCTAACAACATGCATTATAAAACGCCGAAATCATGTTTAAAGCCCAATATTTAACATGATTTTTCTTTGTTTTTCAGCATCAAATTTTCAAATAACTTTGGACTACCTTCCTAATTTTTTGAAATTCTGCAAAACGTGATTATTTGCAATTATGATCAAATACTACAAGGATTTCTTCAAAATCTGATATAGATTTCTTTTTAATTTTGTGACAAATATTTCTCGAAAACATTGTAAAGTCTGATGCTGAAACAGAGAAGGTCAAAAATCAGTCTTCCAAACGGCGTCCCTTCGATATCTCCATTGTAGCTCAGCGAATTTTGGCAAGACTCCGAAACCATTCTATTTTTTATCTGCAGAGGTTATTCACGCATTTTTTAGACGAATTTCATTTTATTTACAGAAATATTTTACCTGTAATTTTTGTGTTTTAAAGGCTGTATATGGAAACCCTTATTCTTCTTGATCTTTCTACACCGTAATTTCCAAGACATACAACCTTTTGCTGTATCGGAAGAGGTATTTTATCCCATTTCTTTTGAACAGCTTTCCAAAGTCCAAGGAGGGTTCTAAGACAAGCCGCTTTTTAAAAGATTAAGAGCGCAAACATCCTTGAATGATACACCAAGAGATTTAGCCTGATACACGTTTTTTGTTCCAATTTTTCCAGGAAATTAAAAATGGATTTTGACGTGTGGGTACTTGTTTTCTCTTGATGCAGTTCTACTGAATGATCGCACTGTGGATGAAGAGAAGGCATTTCGTATTTGAAAATTGCGTATAAAATATGTTCCTGATAATATGTGGAGTTGATTTTAACATTTTTCTCTGCTCTCTTCATTTTTAATTTGCCGTTATTTGAAAAATCAGATGAAATCCTAAACCCTTTTGAAAAACTTTTTTTAGATTCTTTGAACTATATTTTAAGATATTTTGCTCCTCTTTAATGATAATTCCTGGTACTGTGACAACATTTTTTACATTTTTTGCTAGGTAAATTTCTCATAAAGAATTCTGCAGCGTGTTCTGCTTTCAGCGATATGTCGTGACGCACATTAGTTTTTTCGGCTAATCTTTGGAGTATGGTAACAGGTAGTTTGGCGACATTTTGGTAAGGCGATAAAGGTTTACTAGCTAGGACTTTAGTAGTGCACAGGATAAAGTCAAGAGGTGCGCAATGCCATTTTTGTGCAATTCTGGGATTTTTTTAAGTGAAAATAGGTCGACGTGTACATGGATAATACCGGTATGTGCAATTCTTAAAAACGCGGCAAGCAGTGCGGCGACTTTCTGCCACTTTCTCCAATTTCGCACCTATTCTTCGTCATGATTAGACTTTTTCCATAAAGTTCTAGCATAAGCGTTAATTCGGCTAGCAGATTGTTGGAAAAAATGTTAATAAAAAAAAAAAAAAAAAACATTCTTTTACTCGTGAAAAACAAAATGGCGTCCAAAAAAAAAAAAAAAAAAAAAAAAAAACTGCATGTGCTGTAACAGGGTTGGTCGCCAAATGTTCGCCAAAAAATCGCCAAGTTACCATAATCCGAAGATAACGGTTTTTTCATCTTTTTAAGATTCATCACCATCAGCAGATCAGCATTAAATATTTTATTTACACTTGACATTGAGAATTACGGTTCTGTAACTGTCCTTACAATTGGCAGATTTTCTTTTAACATTAAAGATCTTACCTTTTCACCATTCGAAAGATTCCATTTTCCCCTTGGATACATATTTGCACAAATTTTTCCACTTGAAGCCAAACTCTGACGTTTAATATTACCTATCGTATAAAATATGTTCTCCCTTCTTTCCACATGCCCTCGTGGTGTAACGGTAGCACACTTGGCGCGTATTCGAGAGGTCCAATTTCGAATCCCGGCGAGGGCTTTATTCATGTTTCGTATTTCCTACTTTAAAAAGTCCTAATTACTCTACAATCTGCTTTAAATATAGAAACAACATTGCTTTCACTGCATGTTTTAATAACTGTATATGAAACGTTTTCAGCACAAACACAGCCTTACATCCATTGCTTCTTTAAAAGCGATCTTTGCATGAAAACAAAACTGTCAAGTAGCAGCTATAATTTATATTTTCAAAAATATTGTTGCAGTTAATGAATCATTTCCAATCAGCGATTTTTATTTACAGCAAAGCAAAATCATTTTGTTCGAACAGACTCTATGTCTGGCTGCCACAATAACTTTCTTAAATTTCAGATAGATATTTAATTTTCTTTGTTTAACAAGCCTGAGATGTTAATCGATTATATCAGATTTTTAGATCAAATAAACGAATTTAAATGATTTGAATTCAATCGTCTGCTATCAGATCAATCGGAAGATCTTTGAAAAGGAAAGATGACGCTAATGAGTACTTTGCTGCTATTATGATTAGAAGGAAACATTTTCCTAGGTTCAGAGGGAATTTCTTTTTCTTTTCTCATTTCAACAGACTGTACGAAATAAATTGTACAACCACCTTTTTAAATTCCAAGGTTTTATTTATATGCATAAAAAAGAGCTTTTTTTTGTAACTATTATAATATTTTTGGATGTATGTGACCAAATGTAAAAATTCATAGTCATTAGAATTGTCACGTTATTGAAATGTTACAGAATTTCAAGAAACGGTAAAAATAATACTTGAATAAAAATGGTATACATAAAATAGATTGCACTCAATTTGTTAAATTTCTCTTTTTCAGTCTTGATTTAAATCCGTCGGTGTTAAGGGGACTCGGTGTTAAGGGGACGGTGAATATGTGACAGTTGCAAGAATTGGAATAACTTATTTATTTTAAAAGTAATTTCTTCCAACTTTTTACAGATGACTGCATAATATAGCTGCTTTCTGTAATAGTCATCAGAAGTTTGTGTTGCCACAAATATTTTTATAATTTAATCCGCATTGTAACAAAATGTTTCAGTCATGTTCCACCTTGCGCGCACAGTTTAAAACATTGTGTTGCATAATTTAATTCCATATTAATATATAGCTTTTATAACATTTGGAAAAACTGTGAAGCTAAAATCTAAAAATTACATGTTAATTTTATTTCTTTGAGTTGAGTTTATAAAATGTATTTTATTTAAAATCTGTAATGTTTTCGTCCATAAAAATTTTAATATTAAAATATTCATCAGATTTTTGGTTCAGTTAAAAAAAGTGCCCATATAAAGAATTCCATGAAATTTCAAGTATGTACCTTAGCCGTTTTTAAAATATCATGCGCGCAAGGTGGAAACATGGCGAAATATTTGCACGAAGAGGATTAAATTACAAAAATATTTGTGGCAACACAAACTTTTGGTTACTAGTTTCAAATCAGCATATTATGTAGTCAGCTGTAAAAGGTTGGACCGTAATTGCTTTTTTTTTAATACAATATCCCAATTCTTGCAACAGTCACATATTCGAAGATCATAAAGGGTTTAAGGTGTATAAGCCCCCTTAACTGATTTATAATTTTATTTTTAGTCGCATATGAAAAAGAATGTTGTATTAATCAAAAAAAGTTGCTTTTATTATTTAGTGTATTTACATATATTTTATTCTTTTTTCACTACTAATATTTTCCCTTGGTACTTTTATGAACTTTTCTGATATTTTACATTTCGTATGGAAGTAAATTTTTACTGTCCATTCGAAGAAGAAGCATTCTGCTAGTTAAAAATAAAGCTCACGTTTTCCCTATTACCATTGTATATGCTTTCAGAAATGTATATAACTGTATAATTGCGATAATTGACATACAGAAAATGACTGCAAGATCAGAGCTAAAAATAAATTAAAACTGAAAACTACTTTTGTATTATTATTTTAATAGATCCGCCTATGCGTTTGCTGGGTTTCTGATGTTCATAGGCTCGATGATTGATATATACTGCTATTATACAAAAGTGATTTTTAGACGTAAGTAAAATAGCTTTCTTTTCTTAAATTGACAGTATATGAATTGACAGTGTATGAATTTATGAAAATATGCAATAAAAATTTCATTATATGTATAACATAATTTTAATCAATTTATTCATGCAGTAAAGTAGATTTTGTAATTTTATACCTTTCTAATATATTTAGATGTAAAAATGTTGTGATTTCTCTGTTTTGACAAATATTAATTCTAGAAAATATAAAACTTTTAAATCCCATTTCCAAGTTAAAGTTTTAAAATGAAAAATGATAATAAGCGTAAACCAACGTATGACAACAACAATACGTTGGTTTACGCTTAAACAAACAACAAATTAAGATTGATACAGGTATTACATATATGCCATTTCAAATTATTCCTGCGAAGTTCCCTGACGTTTCAAATATGAACTATTGTGCCGCTGGTGTCTTAAAAAGAGCTCTTTCTAAGGGCAAACCAGCCAGGTTTGATGGATTCTGGTAAGTACAGGAAGAAAAAGGAAAATCAATATACCTAGAAATTTTACGAATCCGAATGCTCTTCTATCATGGAAAACACGACGCAGGCTATTCCAAAGCAAACGACTATCAGTTTGAATATTTGAAAAAAATCACCTGTACATTTTGAACATAATTTAAATGGTCCCAAAGTTCTTCTAAAATGCGTAAGCGCCCCCTGTAAATACATATACACTGATTAAATGGAGTATGGTGAAATTTCAAAGCAATATGTCATAATTAAATTTCCACACTTCTTTTTCCTCTTTTTAGTTCTCTTATTTTAGAAAATTCTATCGATCTTTTCCCGATCATTTTTTTATAATAATAGTTGCGCTTCAATTCGGTAATATTAATTAGTTTTTTATTAAAATGCATAACTTAAAGACACTCAGATGTTTTATCATTCCTGCAAGTATGAATACTTAAAGCGAATTCCAATATTTCCTTAGGAAAAGTATATTTCGTCCTAAAGGCTTTTGGAAAATCTTTAATCATCAGTATTTTCGAAGCTTTCTTTCAAATTTTCAGGTTTGTCGCTGCGTATTAATTGTAGTTACTGACATATTAAAGCACTCAGTCAGATCATTTTAAAAGCTTGATTCGTATATGACTTTCATTATTTTCTTTCAAAGCTGCGAAAAATACATGAAAAAGAGAATATTTGAGCAAAATTTAACGAAATAAGTTTTGAGAAAGCTTCAGAAAATAATATTTGATACCTCATAAAACAATAATATATTTTCCATGTTTTTTGTACATTTAATAAATGAATAATATATTTTCCATGTTTTTTGTACATTTGATAAATGAGATAAATTTGCGATGTAAACGAACTTAACAATAACATAAATGGGATTATTTTTTAATTTAATGGAGATATGAATTTATAAAAAATAAAGAGGAAGAAGAAAGCCAACGATTTTAAATAAGGATAAATTTTTCAGTAATCTGATAATATTAAATTGCAGTTTAAAAAATAAATTATATAATCTTGTTAAAAACAAATCATAATTCACAAGGCTTTTTTTCCGGAATGTTTACGAAAATACTTTTTATGAATAATTTCATGATAATAATAATAATAATAATAATTGTAATGAATTGCATATCTGATTATTACATTATTTGTAATCATAAATCTTTGTAGATAAAGCAATACGGATTCTCTTGGCATTCTCCTTGATTACGAATTTCAGGAAATTTTCGAATACAGAAACATCCTCTGATACTTTGAGGTGCTTGAATGGCGTTCGTTTCCTCTGCATGTCTTGGATTGTACTTGGACACACTTACCTTAACGTCAATTTCCAGATGTTTCGTAAGTATAATAAGATGCAGTGTTGAGATAAATTTCCTTTTATGCCAATGAAAATTAATATGTTTTATTCTTACGTGTAATTTTTCTAGAATATTATTTGTTAGAACTAAAAAGACAATTATCCTTATAGGATAAATTGTGTAGATTACGTACTTAACTAATATATTTTCATTGTCTTTGCCACATGCAGTAGAGACCGTTTGTTTCTTATTGTTGCTAAACATGTTCTTTAACTTTGTTTTTTACATTAGGTGCAAAACAATGTTTTTGATTTACATATTCTAGCAAAATTTAAACGTCTGTATCTTCCCAGCATAAAACGTGCAGGATAATTAAAATTCATCTTCGATACTCCTTTTAGGCAGTCGTAAAATAGGTAATCATATGCTCCTAATTTCAAAGTTTTAAAGTAATAAATTTCTTTTCGTCTACTAATTTTGGTTGACTGCTAATTTTACGCACACAAAATACACAGATAAATCTTTAACAGCAACACAAATCAGAAAACAGGTTTAATAAATGTTTCATTTATTAATCAAGTGGTTTAAGAAAGTTCGAAGAAATAACAGTTCCTAACTTCTTAAAACTATGGTGCACGCTGCATGCTTTTGGTAAATATTATTTTCGTAACTTTTCATGATATAGTTATTGCATTGGATTAGCAAGAAAATAATTTCGGTTTTTTAGTGTAAAATAAAACTCAATTTCTTTCCATATAAAAAATGAACTTTAATCAGTCAAAAATATTCTGTTTTGTTTGATGATATTTTACCGCTTTTAATTACTAGCTATTATTAGCAAAAACTCAACGAAGTGCGATTTGAGGTCATTGTTATTACTGAAATTACAATTAAAGAAGTTTAGTAAACTTCGAAATAAATCATACGTTTCGGGCTATATGGAGATGGTACATTATTTCCCAGCCAAGCTGCAGTAATTTCGTACGTGTTGCTAAAGATGTGCGAGGGCTCGCATTGTCATGGTGGCACACGATTCCTTTGAGATTTGCCAATTCTGGCCTTTTCTCTTTGATTGCTTTCTCCAGATTCATAAGCTGCTGGCAGTAAACATCTCAGCTGATCGTTCGGTTGCTTGGAAGCAGCTCAAAGTACACAATGTCTTTGTTATCCCACCAAATTGACAGCATGATCTTTTCCTGATGCAATTTAGATTTCGATATGGTTTGCGCTGATTCATCATGTTTGGACCATGAGCATTTTCGACTATTGTAGACAATCCATTTTTCATCATCAATCATATTTCGTTTGAGTTAAGTGAAGTTCTTTCAATTCATGTGGAACTCAAATATCGAGCTTCTTAACGAGTCCAAGACATCTTATTTGCTTTCCAGTTGTTGTGTGTGATACATTTAATCTTTTCGCAATCTGTCGCACACTTATTTGAAGACTTGATTCAATTATGGCTTTAACTTTGTCGTAATCAACTTCAGAAGGTCGGCCAGAACGTTGGTCATCTTCAAATAAAAAATCTTCAAAACGAATTTTTTTAAACCAATTCTGACACATTCGTTCTATTAAGCAATCAACTCCATAAACATCATCTATCTCTTTATGAGCCTCAGCTACTTTCTTGCTATTATGAAAATAAAAAAGTAAAATATGTAAAAATATTTATCATTTGAAATATTTATTTTTGTTTTTTTACTAACATTGACCGTAAACTGGCAGTTGTGAATAAAGATACACCGAATTTTTTTCTGTAGCCTCCTAAATGCGTCACCTGCCAAATCTCAGAAGAAAAAAATATAATATTGACAGAAGAAAAACAATTCGAACATAAAACTATTTCTTTGTGCAAACGAAATTACTTTCTTGTTAACCCAATAAAACTGACATTTAATTTATTATTATTATTGTCTTGCTGCACATTTCAATATTTTTACGAAGAAAAGTAAGTAAAATGTCAGTCTATAGATATATTAGAATATAAGAAGAGCAAACAAAGTGCAACCAAACACTCAAAAATATGGTACAGATATTTCTTAAAGGCTTTAAAATGCTAAATTTTATTGCTGTAAATATATTTGGATACAGAAATCAATTTTGAGAATTTTTTCCGTTTAAATAGGCTTTATAAACGACCATTTGAATGTTTTTTTCTATTTACTGACAATATTTCAGAATTAAAAAATAATTTATCAGATTAAAAGAACATATTTCTAATTCTGGTTCTAAATAACTCCAAAGAGAAATTTTAACGGAAGCAGAGGAAAAGAGAGGATTAGATAATAAAACTAAAAGATTGCTAATGTGAAAATTTGTAAATTTAAAAAAGTAGGAATATTACATTGTAATATTACCCATTAATATATTATAGTGAAATAAAACTTATTGCGCTATTATTATGCAATAAGTTTAATTTATTATTTATAATATGCATAAATTATTTAAATTAAATAATATTGCATATAACTTATTTAAATAAATAATATTGCATAACTTATAAATTTTTGAAAAATAACATTAAGATAATTTTCAGTAATATGGAAATCTCGGGCAAGGTTCACTAAGCATCTATACATTTATAACACATTTTAAGAACATTCAGAAGCTTAATGTTTTGATTGTAGGATGGTAATTAAAAGTAAAAGCACGTAAATAAATATATCAGTATTTAATACAATGAATCTGTCACAAATAACATGTTACATAGTTGCTTTCTTGACTTGATATAAATCACGCATTTACATATTTATGATAAGCATTTTACAAAATAGTTTTATGTAATGTATTACAGTTTAAATTCTTAGAACAAGAACAAACAAAATATGTAGCAACTTTTTACCATTGCATAAAATGTTAATTCTTCTTGTTTATTTCTGCAGTTGGGTTAGAAAAGGTCAGAGCATATGCCAGAGATTTTGCTTTCCAAGCTGTGATCAACGCATCCGTAGCTGTAGATACATTCTTTTTCATAGGGTGAGTTTCTAAATATATTACACGTTAAAAAAATGCCCATTTTTACGTCCTTGTACAAAGTAAAAAGGAAGTATAGTAATCGCGAAAAGTTTCAGGCAGCATATTTCAACGAAAATATTTATTTTGACCGCTATCGAATGCAATTTAACGATCTTTTTGATTGACATCTGTACGTAAGGAAAGAAATATAAAACTACTTTAAAATGAATTCTGAAGAGAATTTTTCGTGGTGTCTGTACGTACGTATATACATACGTATAACTTAAAAACGCGTAGACTCAGAACGTTAAAATTTTGTATATAGGACTGCTATAACATCTAGATGTGCACCACGTGTTTTGGTTGCAATCGAAAGCACCAAATGTATATAAATATACTTATATTTAATCCACTCTGTTACCCGGCTCAGTGATATAATCCTCCCGGCTCAGTGATCTCAGTTCTTTACCTATATGTTGTAATTTGTTCCTTTTTGCTTTAAAATGATTCAAAGTGTTTTCTTCTGGTTAAGGTTTTATGCCTTTAGAAATCTGCAAGCAATATTTGTAGAATTATCAACAATTAAAGCTGTTTAAGTGCGATTAAGCCTAATTTTTAAATAACATGGCGAACATATTTGTTTGCATTTGAAACAGCAGAATAGTAGATTTGTTGCCAATCTATAAAAACTAAGCATTGCACTAACAAAGATAAGGCCTTCATTTATTATTCCCAATTAAATCATGCTTAATCCTTTTGGGAATTTTTCGAGAAAATAAGTGTTTAAGATATACTTACAAATTTTCAATAGTGATATTTTGAGTTTTTATGTACTTTTTGCCTTGTCGCGATTGTGAACTGAATTAATTGAATGAAAAATACTAAATCGTCTGTGAAAAACTGTTTCGTTTTTGTTTTGTTTGCTTAATTTCTTTTAACATCGTTCTAGATTTATTATAGTATTTGAATAGAACATGTGGCAACGATTAGATAATTCTTCAAATGATATGAATTTTGTGCACTCTGAGTTATAATATGAACGAACTATAACGCTGTTAAGTGAACCTAGCGTCAGAGTGTCGCTATGATAAATTAATATAGTGAATTTTAAAGGTGCATTTATTCTATGTGTGGCTATCGACGCGATAGAGTAGATTTAATTCAATCCAATAAGTTTAAATGAAATGCAAGAAAAAAATGCGTATAATTTGATATTCTGTACAAGGAAGTCATGTGGTGTACATCAGGTTTTTAATTTTATAGTGTATATATATATATATATATATATATTACTGTAAAATAAAACATATATGTTTGAAAACGGAAAACATAACTTCAAATGATTTTTTAGTGTGAGACAGAATTATTTAAATACGCTACGAAATCTGTCTTTTAATAGAAATGCTATCATTTTCGCAAGGAATAAGAAATGCTTTCCAAGAGGATTTCGTATAAAATATTTTTATGTAGAGACATATGTAATTATTTTGTGTATTTCAAAGAATCTCACCATAAAAGTGTCGAGAACAAATTCTGTACTTTAAATTTGCCTGCTAAGATATAATAACATTTATATTCAATGTTATAATGTTACCAGGTTTTGGGAAATGAACTATGAGACAGCATTCAGAGTTTAATATGTTCCCTTTATATCATTACAGAAATACCTTCGGCGTGCTTGACTGATTTCTTAAATTCTACATGTTGCACAGAGATAAAATATGTCTCTTTTCCCGCCAGTTTTAACTCTAATTTGAATGTTTACTTTTTCCTCTTACTAATACGTCTGATTTGAATTAGATCAGATTCATAAAATCATTCGCCTTCATGACTTCCAACGCGGCTTTATGTCTCTTCAGCAGATCTTCGAGCACGAAGGCATCACAACTAAGTGGATGTTGCACAGTGGCTTCGTGATTTTTTCATTTGACAAAAGTTGGGAATACTTCAGTACCACGGGAGGTCCCCTGAGGGCCCTTAAATATTCTGAAGTCAACGAAGCTAGAGACGTTTGGTACTTTCAGTCACTCATAAAACGAATGGCAATACCAGGATCTGCACTAGGATACCCTGAATATATCGGTAGTTGTCTCCAAGAGGTATTAATTAAAGCCTTTTTTCTCGAGTATAGTTCAAGGTAGGTCAAAGGCTCAACATAAACCTGAGGCATAGAAGTACCCTCCTTTGCTAGTCTATCAGCTGTAACATTATATTTTAGATTTACATTAGATGGTATCCATTTTAGATGGAGTACAGAAGAATTCGACGAAGTCTTGAGTTTTTCAATAGCTCATAAGGTATTTCTCCCGCCTTCCCAGCATGCCTTCGTATTGGGATATCAGCACACTGAGCCGGTATTTCAGAGGTCCGTGGTTCGATTTCCGGTGAGGACGATTGCTAATTTTTATATCTTTCTTGCTTCCAAAAAATCCTGATGTCTCTACAAGCTTTAATTCTTCTCAGGTCTCTAATATCTTTCCCATTATCTAGGTATTAGATTACACTCGGCTGTCCGTAAGAATCCGGATAAATGTTGATCTAAAATACAGTTCAAAGCCATATCATTAGCAAAAATTGAATGTCATAGTTATCAGTCACTATGACACACATTACTCCTGGACGCAAAGTGCATTCATGACGTTCGATATGTTTAATTTAATTAATAATAATGTTTGATATGGAAATATGTTATGCTTCTTTAATTGGGATTTACAAAAACAATTAAGATATTGATAATTATATTTAATATACAAATAGTAGTAATCGCAAATGGGATATAATTATAAAAAGTGTGATTATTTATTTAGTAGACAGTGACACGAGAGGTATTTGGTTTAAAAGAATGATCATGCTTTCATTTATTCGTTATTAGACTGAAATAATTTAACTTCAAATATTATAAATAAAAATTTGACCATTAATTCTAACTTATAATTAAAGGTCACTAGATGATGCTAACTGAGAGATCTTAAGTTTTATTACAGGTGCACGTTCAATTTCGCTTGAATATCTCTAGTGGTTGCTCTTTTATTTATTTCATACAGATTCTCCTAAGTTGTCATTGTATTACAAAGTGCATTGGGCATGTATCGTCCTAATCAAGGGGTTTCCTTGCAGTTATGCAGTTTAATTAAAAAAAAAAAAACTAGTGGAACAAATACTATAAAAACGTTAACAAAGAATAGTGTTACTCCGGGTTACTAGACTGATAAAAATACTAAACCAACTATATTGATTCTAAAGTAGCAGAAGAGTGCACTCAGTTTTGCAACTTACTGAAATTTCAAATTTATAAGAAACTTATGAATTTAAATAAATTCGAAATGACTAGACAAAGATAAGAATATCAGAAAACAGAAATTTCGAACTTATGTAAATTTAAATGCAGTCTAAATGAACATAATCGTGAATTTAGTCGGTGAAAAAATTGAAAGTTTAATTACTTTCATTTCAGTAGATGTCAGTATTGCAATATATAAGATATCAATACTGCAACATGAAACGAACGTTTCAAGGTATTATTCATAATTTCTGCTTAAAAGGAATTTAGGAAATTAACATTTCATACGAATACTGATGTGTGATCTTTTTGAATAATCATCATCTGCTATTTTTCTAGATTTTCTAAGATTCATGAATATGAAATTAAAAGTACACAGTATCTGGATCCGTTGCTTTCAGCCAACTTTTCTTATCACCTATGAATGTGGATTTTAAATGTCTAAGAATGCATTGTTTATACATTTTTCAAAACTTAGAAATTTGCTTACTCTTTGGTTTCTTGTTCTAGGGGCTTACTTGTTTGCTATGTCACAATAAAACTGGTTAAAGGAGGTCATCCTTTCAATATCAAGTTATATATATTTCACAGATTATGGAGGTAAGCGAAATTTTCCTTGACATATTAAAAATTAAATAACAGCTGTTATCAGAATATAATATTTTGTATTTTGAAATTAAAATACTTTTAAGTATCAACATTTGTATTTCAGTAAATATTTTTAGAATATATCATTATTGTGAGGCATTTCATAAGTTTGTAAATAGTTATAATTCATTGCAATCAGCTAATTAGCAGGGATAGGCTGCGATTATTTAACACATGGATTATAAAGATAATTTAATAGACCGAATATAATGTTTTTGATTTGGTATAAAGCGTAGTTATCATAAAAAGAATCATATAAACAGATCATTCTTACTGTAAAAAAATAATAATGAAAATAAAATTGAAAATTGAGGCTCTCAAAATAAAATAGAGTTTGCCTTAATATAGTGATTGCTATTACACTGGGATTTTTAATTATGCACGATTCTTCATAATTATCGCAGTTCTAATTTTAATTCGCAACACACCTCATTCATAAGCATATTAGACTGAACTATAAACCAAATATATTAAATCAGGTAATCCGAGAAAAAGAATAAATAATAAATTAAACTCAGTAAACAAAAAATATTTACGTAACATTCATAATTATAAATGTTTTTTACATAAACATTTCTCGCAAGGCCTGCCGGGAAAAAGATAGCAGACGATTGCAAACGCAAGATCGCCACAGATTACATGATTATTTTAGTTTCAACAATGAGACTTAACGGGATATTCCGAATTAAAGTTGGAAATTTATTTTTTATATATATCTTTATCTTGCACACATAAATGTATTTATTTATAAGTACAATTGACTCACAATCTTATTGTCCACTCGGGATTGATAAGAAATGATGTTTAATTAAGTAGTTGCTGTAGAGAAAAATCAGAAAAGTTGGAAAACTTTCAGGCGTTCCATTAAATTATGAATTAAAATGATTCTTTAAATTCTCTATTCTGTAAAAATGGATATTTTAGTTGACTTATGATACCCGAAATTTTTCGCCATTACTATACTTCTTTTATAAGGTACAGGGAAGTAAAAAGGAATGAATGTTGATGGTCATCAGATCTTTTTGAAGAATCAGTATGGTGTGGCTTAATAATTCTTTGAAATGCTCTCTTTTTCCCCTCGCATTATTTTTATTTTTAACAATTTTAAATGCCTTCCTTGTGGAAATTTTGTTCAGTGTACAGAAGGAATTAATTTTTCAGAAAAGTGCAAAATTTTTAATATGATATTGATTAATAAAGCGGAATTCTTAGTTGCTGTTAATGAAGGCATAGATAGAGGGACTGAAAGCAACTGGACAAAAGCTGAATGTGACAGCAAGAAAAGTAGCCCGAAATGACAGCAACTAATTAGAAATTATGTAATCTGGCGTTGAATTCAAAATGTTTGGTTGCTGTAAAGACAGATGTTTCGCAAATAAAAATCATTAGCACTGCTTTAACATAGCCAGTATACTATTTTGTTCAAAAGAATTTATGACAATAATATATTCAGTAGATCTTTAGTGTTGTCTGAAGGTTTATTATTCAGCTCAACAAAAGGAGAAATAAGGTACAAATTTGAATAAGTGAAAAAAATCATGGAAACTGGACTCAAGGCACAATAGTTAAAATTACATTTGCTTCTTGGCAGCAATTATTATTTATTTATGACCTTCAAAATAATTCTTTATTCCTCATAAAAAGATCTCGGAATTTAACTTATTTTTAGGCTCTAGAAAGTCGTTATTCGCGACTTTTTTAAGGGATATACTGCTAGATCAAGGAAAAATTACATTAAGCTAATGAAAGATCCACTGATCAAAGTTATACCGGGAGTGCTGATACAAAACGTAATAACGAGAATCGACTGTATATATATGATGTACCAGCTTTTGCCCGGAATAAATAGATTGGTGAAGAATCATAGATGTAGTGGCAGCTTAAATTATCAGACGATAAATTTAAAAAAACAGGATCCATTTATGATACCTCGGACAAACTACCAGTGTTCAGCGTCTTTACCGCTCGGCCGCTGGTGGGCCCTTCCCATTCTTAGACAGTCAAGAACTATTTGTTTCTGTTCGCTTAGATAGTAAATAAGAGCGAAAGTGCGTTCAAAACTCCTTAATTATTCTTGTTTAATGTCTTTAAATAATTACTCCCTGAAAGTCCAGTTTAAGTATTAAATTATGAATAATTAAATTACAGTTTATCATACGTATTTAAAAAATTGTATTGCTTAACTTAAAATTTAATTTGAAGAAATATTTGACTAATAACTTTTAACTGCTTAAAAATCGCTAATTGTTTCTTAATGAATATTTTTGTTAAATAGATTTTCACTTTCCCCGATAGTATAATCTTAAACTTTTTCTACTGAAAAATGTACTTTGCAAAAGTAATTTTCAATATAAGTTGCTTAAGCGCTAGATTTTATTATTTTATACCCTAATTTTTATATTGTTTAAATAATTGTTCAATTTTATATTAAGTAATGTATAATATATAACATATTATTATATATACATATAAGTTTATTCTTTCTTAAGACGTTAATTTTTTTATTAGCAAGGTCTTCGACTACAGTTCAAAATTCTTTGCCTTTTTTTTTTTCAGAATTCTTCCAGTGTACGCCTACGTCATCCTATTCATGTTCTTAGGAAACATGTTGGGATCTGGTCCTATCTGGCATGATTCCACGTACAAACATCTGAAGGCATGCTGGGATAACTGGTGGACAAACTTAATATTCATAAACAATTTTTATAATTCTGAGCAAATGGTAAGTTTTCCGTTTAAGCATTTCGAAACTTCAGAAATGTAAAAATAAGTTATTATTTACTTTTAATTACGTATTAAATACGTATTATTACGTAGTATTTCTCTAAACATTCTCTAAATTTAAAGGAACAGCGACGAAATGAAAATAATTTGTATTGGAAATTAAAGCTCCTTACTGGGTTAAACAGCATTTACACAGCTATTATCTTCCCAGCTGAACCCGAAAATGTTATTGAATTCATTTCTTCCTGAATTTTTATAAGCAAAGTTGTAGAAAAGTTTTTCATTTAACTTGATTAGCGCGTAAGGCTCATTTAACGGCTATGGTTAACTGATTAAGGTAAAACAACTCGGAGACTATCTGCCTACGAGGAGGGAAGCCTTCGTGAAAGACCTTTTAAGAGAACTGACTCGTATCATCTTTACAATTAGGGAAAGCCAGCTCCCATGCAGCCGACCTGTTCGATGGGATTTGAGCTCGGGTCGAACTCCAAGTATTCAGCCACTTTATCGGCCCGCGAGTGGTGGGCCAAAGATCTTTTAACTCATTCCATTCTTGCTTTACGGGAAATTTACAAAAAATTAAATTTTATACTTTTATTAAATAAAGGAGTAACACTAGAGAAAAACTATTCTATCCCTAGAGTTTCTGTTACAGTTTTATGCTGTTTACTAAGAAATTTTTAATCCGAAATACACACCTTATAAGTTGAATATACGAAGTTTAAATTAGAAAAATATAATTCGGTGTATCAAGCCGAACTGATTGCTATACAAAAAGCCTTGGGGTGGCTTGTTAGAAATCTAAATGAATCACATATAATTAGAATACATTCTGATTGTATGTCAATTCTTCAAGCACTCTCTGACCCCGAGCAGCAAAATTTAAATATTCAAATTATTAAAAAATTGGTAATACATTGAAGGTAAGGCATCATTGATTTTAATTGGGTTAAAGCACTATTTTGTTTGGGCAATGAGAGGGCGGATGTCTTAGCAAAGGAGGCAACAATGAGTAATGATTGAAACTGTTGATGTACAAGCCTTCAGAGAAAGATGCATTAACATTATGAAGTGTGACATTGTAGATAATGGCGGACTCATGGGAAACTCTGCTAAATAATATGTTCATAAGATTTTTGTTCCTAAGGAAAATATGAATATTAACAATGACATTGACTTGAATCATTTAATTACAGGTCATGGGAGATTTCCCTTTTATCTGAAAGATTCCATGTTGAAGATAATGATTTACGTAAAGTATATACAAAAGTAGGAGACAATGTCCACTTTATTACAGAATGTAAGTTAACCAGGTGCATTGATGGAGCGAACATATATTTTATGAAAAATGGTTTACTTAGGGCAAGAGGAATAGCGCATAAGATTATGAAGATTGTTAACAACAATAAGGAAGCCATTGGCATTGTGTGATTCGTGTATTTGTATAGTTGTGTGGTGATTTTTGTACTGGCTTAGCCCGTATATGGTCATATGGCAAACTTTGTTTTCCAAGGTGGACCGGGCTGCGCCCTAACAAAACAAAACACACCTTATAAGATATTTTCTCCTTTAGTAGTGAAACTGGAAGCATACTCGACGCGTATTCGGAAAGTCAGGAGTTTGAGTCTTCCCCTAGGGCACTGCCCATTTTTCACGTCCCCAGCTTGAAAATAAACTTAAGGACTTTACAACTTAGGAGCAATAGTTAAGGAAACAAATCTGTAGCCTTTTTATCTAATCACAAAATTTAGATTTTATTGGGCTTTACTGCGATGAATATTGAACACAAGGGTTTCTATGTGAGTCTATAAAGATGAAACTTTTAAAGCAAAGTACATAAAAAGATAATTACCAAATAAAATTTAGGGAAACTGATGCATAAGGCAGCTTTATTACTTCAATGCGTAATTTGTCCTCAGACCATAACATCAATAGCAAAGACGATAGCTTATAGTGTAAAAGATTTTCTAAAGCTCATTCTAAGTATTTAAGTAAAACCTATTTGCAACTAAATGCGAAGAGCAGATTCATTTCCTTCCGTGACAAACTCATAATGGAAAATACCTTTCCCGTTTGTGCATGAAAGTCTTGATAAATGTTTGTGTATTGCTATTTTTGTTTTCTTGGAATAAAAATAAGAAATATTATGAAAATTTCTTTTTCAGTGCATTCCTCAAAGTTGGTACATTGCATCGGATGTTCAACTGTATTTGGCTGCATTGCTCATTTTATTGCCTCTTCTAAGGTTAGTTATAACTGGTCTTTGTTTGTTTTTAAGGAAAAAAACACCTTAAATACTTAAATGCTTCTGTGCGAGGTTTAAATGCAATGCATTCTCGTATTAAAATAATAATTTTTGTTTATTTTAGGCTATATTAATTTTAAATGACGAATCCCTATTTCGAACATCAAAATTAAATTTTACTGATTATTGCATCAAACTTTGTAATGCGTGACTCACAAATCTGAAAGGAAGTTAATATAATGCGTAAAATTATAAACTCGTATGTCGATTTCAGTAAGAACTTATTTTTTGTAACAGGAAATAAAAGACAATTTTTAGTATCTTTTGGTAAAAACTCTTTTAAATTCAAGGTAAGTCAGAAAATTGTATACGACTTTAACAGATGGCATCTGCGTACTGGTTTCAAAAGCGAATTAAATTTTCTTTATGTAGTGAGGTATTTACTCAACACATATCGGTACTCTTATGACTGCAATATATAATGTATGATGTAAGAAAGTGAATCAAAATAGTCTTGGGGAATCTTCAAGGATATCGCAGAAAATTGGCAGAAATTGGAGTAGCTTTCGTTGAAAATATGTTGCTCCTTTAAGCTAAAACAAAGTTTTATCAAGAAATTACAGCGGCATATGCTATTCCCGCGGACACACTGACAAACGTTGTTCAAGCAATATCTTGTAGTTCTACTATGCGTTTGGTCACTAACCGCTGTAATTCTGAAACTTTGAGTACTGTATTATAACTGTAAAATTACAGGTATAAGAAGATTATATTAAACCTAACATAACCTACCATATGCTTGATTATATTAATCTATAATTAAGTTTGGTATTAGAACGCAGTAAAGAATTTCCTTTTGTTAAAGAGTGTGTGCATTTTTCTGATGGATCCTGTACATTTATATGCACTTGGAATTCATATACGGACGACAATTTAAAAATATGACCGTAATCTTCAAATACTTTTACAAAAGTGCTAGCATTTCCAACATTAACCCATCAATTAAATAAAAAATAGTACTTGAAGATTTGTGTAGATATCGAATGATACCTGACGTAAAATTATTTTAATTTAGGAAGTGAAAATAAGGAAACAATACGTTTTTTAATGTTACTCATTTAGGCTAAAATAAAAATTTTACATTTTCATAATAAAGCTTTATTACAAGTTAAAAAATAGGCTAATCATTAGAATATGGTAAGAGGTAGTTTGGCGACATTTTGGTAAGGCGATAAAGGTTACTAGCTAGGACTTTAGCAATAATCTGAGAAGTACACAGTTCGAATCACAGATTATTTTGTCTCAGAGAAATGAGAGATCATGAGACATGTAAATGTGACATTTTCCGGAAAATTCCGATCGTGATTTTTAACTAATAAGCACTTAGAAACAATTTCGCTGCTAAGTGCAGAATCGCCCACTTATTTGTTTGGCGCTTTTTACAAAAGTAAGAAGAATTGGAATTTTGTAAATTTTCTTTGACTTTTTAAGTGAAAATAGGTCGATGTGTACATAGTCAAGTCAAGAGTGTGTGCAATGCCATTTTTGTGCAATTCTGGGATGTTTGTTTAAGTGAAAATAGATCGACGTGTACATGGATACCGTGTATGTGCAATTCTTAAAAACACGGGAAGCAGTTTGCGATTCTGCACTTTCTCCCAATTTAGCACCTAATTGTCGTGATTAAGCATTTTTGTTCCATAAAAGTTCTAGTATAAGCGTAATTTGGCTAGCAGATTGTTGGAAAAAAATGTTGAGTAAAAAAAAAAAAAAAAAAAAAAAAAAATGCCTTTACTTCGTGAAAACAAAATGGCGTCCAAAACAACACTAGCATGTTGCTGTAGCAGGGTTGGTCGCCAAATTTTCGCCAAAAAATCGCCAAGTTACCATAATGTAAAGATTCACCAAAAAATAATAATTAATAGACTCAGGGTTAAAATTAATTAGCTTAAATTACGGAATGCATTGGGTACTTACGTATTTGCAAACAACTTGGAACAATTTGGCGATTTTTTATACAAGAAAAAGTTGATTCGATGAATTTTCGTATTGGCACGTACAGTGGATATGGTTAACTAAAGAACTGTTATATGCATGGTTGTCCAGAGTTTAACGACTACTGAGAGTTTGGCACCTTCTGTATATCAAATTTTATATAGTAATAACTTTTATTAATAATTGCCTTTTTACAGGTGGCCAAAAATTGGTTTGTCTCTAAGCGTTTTGACAATTTTAGCTTCTGTAGTGTACGCGGGCGTTGGTACCTACGTCAATCAGTATCCGCCAACTATGCTGTTTGCTCATCCTGATCCAAAGTAAGTTGAGACGAAAGGCTATAAAACATATTTTTGGGGCCAGTGTGTTTAACTTCGTACTGCTGTAAGAAAGAATATACCACTGTGCCATTTATTTAATTACAACACTTCCTTAGTAAACGTATTATAACAGTGCCTTAGTTATTGCTAATAATTTAAATTTGATTTTTTTTAAGTCGGTATCCCTCTCATAGAAAGTATATTTACAAATTTCATCTTTTATTTTCCAGCCAAAGGATTGCCTACTGGGCACACTTTTACTTTAGGCCATTCGTTCACGCTGGACCGTATTGCATTGGAATATTAGCTGGTTATCTTCTAGCTACGAAACCTGATTTAAAAATTCCTAGGGTAAATATCATCTTTAAAATGCCATTTGATTAGCCTCTGGAGGAAAGAAAAATGATGTGAGAAGAACGTAGTAGTGTAATAAGAATGCCGATTTCTTTTATCCAGGTTATTCAACTGGTTGGATGGTGCCTAGCATTCGTCTTTAACTTCTCAGTTTTGTACGGTGTATGGGAATGGAATAAAGGAGCAGAGCCATCTTTTTGGGAATCCATGTTTTACGCTAGCCTTAACAGAGTAGCTTGGACACTTGGAGTTGCATGGATGATAGTGTGCTGTGCAACTGGTCATGGAGGTAACTGATAACAATTTACTAATTAAAGGGAATTTTAAGAATCATAAAACTGTTTAATTTGTTTTTAAAGTTACTTTATAATAAAAGCTGTATACTATATTTAATGCAAACGCTTGCATTTTTGAAATTTCCTTGATTTTGTTCTTTATTTCCTTGTATGTTTTAATCCGTTTTCTGAAAGAAGTATTAAAACAAAATCCCTTACATACTAAAAGTGAGGTATTCGATTACTAATTATTTAATAAAAAGGTCATTCTCACATGAATCAATAAATCTGAATAAATACGTATAATAGATAATTGTTGACTTGAAAGATAGATATTAGATTTCAGACAAAGCGAATGATGACGAAATAATACTACAGATATTAGGAAAGTATATCTTCGTAAAGGCCATTTTAAAGGATGCTTATTTTTATAGCACCGGAAATATTATTACTTAAACTTCTCATTTTATGTTTCCGAAGTGAATGAATCTCTGAATGAAAACCTATTTTGCATAAATAAAAAATGAGATAATCATTTTTATTTTGTAATAAGTGAAAGAGGGCGCATTAGCCAATAATAATAATTTCAAAATCCTTTTTTAAAAAGAATATATTATTAATAAAACACCTCAATGATGATAGTAACTAATAAAATGTTGTATTAGAAAAATGTTTTAATAATTACAGTAATGTTGATAATGTTCATAATTACCAATTGAAGGTATAGTAAGTTAAATGTATTTGAAATCATATTAACTAGATACGCTATCAAAAAATGCAAATATCAGCTGTTATAAAGTGCGTCTACTGTTTCAAATCGCTGGGTTAATGGATCAATGCAAATGTAACTTGAAAGATAACTTAATGATCTTAAACCATCTCAAATGACAGCTCTCTAGAAACTGATTATTTACGAAGCGGTGTTGAAGCTAATTTAAAATCCCTGTATCTTGTGCAATGGGAGAGCATTTTTCAAGTCACCTAGATGATAAATTACATTGTAGTGAACATCACATAGCCGACGGGGCGTCAAAGATTTGAAAATCTTTGCTAACATATCTCGATAGAAATGTATTCAAATCAGATACAGGCTTCATAAACCGTTAGGCTCAAACTAACAGTTCTTGCATAATATAATGCAATAACAGAAAAAAAATACTCATATACATCTTTCAATAAAAAATACTTTGCGTCAAATTACTACCAAGTTTAGCAATTTCGAAAAAACAAGAGGTTAAAGAATTTTGAAAAGCGATAAAATAATTCAATAATTTGTACTAACATATTTTAATAGTAGCTAATATAAAGGGATGAAAATATGCATAAATCAGTCATGACAAGTCAAATAGTGATGGATAACCTACAAATTGCGTAAATAGTATTAATTTTGGGATTAAAAAAAGAGGCTAGACAAAAAGATAAAAGGTTAAAAAATAGTAAACCAAAGTGTTTTCATTTAAATTCTTTTCTACTTAGCAAAGGATTAAAACTGAATGTATTCTTTGTAAAATATATCTTGTCGTACTAGCTATTTTAAAACGCATTTGCTAAAATTAAGAAAAGGAATATACTTTTACGTTGTAGGTATTTTCAATATTCTTCATATTCTGTTTATATATATGATGGCGGTATATACTCATTATATATATGCTCGTCTTAGTTTTAAAATTTGAAAAATACTTTTTTTTAATTTTAATTTCGAAAAACTTATTTAGTTCATGATAACAAAACATGGCTAATCTTTGGAATATGGTAACAGGTAGTTTGGCGACATTTTGGTAAGGCGATAGAGGTTACTAGCTAGGACTTTACATGGAGTACATGTTTACATGGAGTACATTTACATGGAGTACATGTTTAGTGTACATGGATAAAGTCAAGAGTGTGCGCAATGCCATTTTTGTGCAATTCTGGGATGTTTTTTTTAAGTGAAAATAAGTCGACGTGTACAAGGATACCGTGTATGTGCAATTCTTAAAAACGCGGCAAGCAGTTTGCGATTCTGCACTTTCTCCCAATTTCGCACCTAATCTTCATCATGATTAAGCACTCTTGTTCCATAAAAGTTCTAGCATAAGCATAATTCGGCTAGCAGATTGTTGGAAAAAAAATGTTGAGTAAAAAAAAAAAAAAATTCCTTTACTTCGTGAAAACAAAATGGCGTCCAAAAAAAAAAACTAGCATGTTGCTGTAGCAGGGTTGGTCGCCAAATTTTCGCCAAAAAATCGCCAAGTTACCATAATCCGAAGATAACCGTTTTTTCATCTTTTTAAGGTTCATCACCATCAGCAGATCAGCATTAAATATTTTATTTACATTTGACATTGAAAATTACGGTTCTGTAACTGTCCTTACAATTGGCAGATTTTCTTTTAACATTAAAGATCTTACCTTTTCACCATTCGAAAAATTCCATTTTTCCCTTGGATACATATTTGCACAAATTTTTAATTAAATTTTATTTAAATAATGATAATTCCTGGTACTGTGACAACATTTTTTACATTTTTTGCTGGGTAAATTTCTCATAAAGAATTCTGCAGCGTGTTCTGCTTTCAGCGATATGTCGTGACGCACATTAGTTTTTTCGGTTAATCTTTGGAATATGGTAACAGGTAGTTTGGCGACATTTTGGTAAGGCGATAAAGGTTACTAGCTAGGACTTTAGTAGTGCACATGGATAAAGTCAAGAGTGTGCGCAATGCCATTTTTGTGCAATTCTGGAATTTTTTTTAAGTGAAAATAGGTCGACCTGTACATGGATGATACCGTGTATGTGCAATTCTTAAAAACGCGGCAAGCAGTTTGCGATTCTGCACTTTCTCCCAATTTCGCACCTAATCTTCGTCATGATTAAGCACTTTTGTTCCATAAATGTTCTAGCATAAGCGTAATTCGGCTAGCAGATTGTTGTAAAAAAAATGTTGTGTAAAAAAAAAAAAAAAAAAAAAACTTTATTTCGTGAAAACAAAATGACGTCCAAACGAAAACTAGCAGGTTGCTGTAACAGGGTTAGTCGCCAAATTTTCGCCAAAACATCGCCAAGTTACCATAATCCAAAGATTAACCCAAAACATTTACAACGAATGATAAATTTTATAGGATTCTATAGTAAGCTTGTGTTTGAGTTCTGCAGACCGTACTAGACTGCTAGTGAGTTACTTGAATCTGAAATAATCATAAAGTTGGAATCATAAAGTTAAAAATAAGCTTTACATTTAGGCTTAACAGAAAAGTCACAACTTGTGCTACTAAATAAGTATTAATTAACACAATAGAACATAAATTATCATAACGGAACATTAAATTTTAATGTAGATAACGAAGTCCGAGATTGCACGTAAAATAACCCATGTAGGTTGGCTCAGATATTTACCTGCACGTATTTTTAAACGTCGGCTGGCAACCGTAGTGCCGTAGTGCAAACTTAAGCAAAGCTAGCGATAGTAATTAACAACAAAACGCTGCTGCCACAAAGTAAACATTCAAAACCCTCAGCTTAAATATATGAACAAATAATTTGCATTCTATTGAGGAATATGGAAAGAAGAAATTATAGTAAACTTAAATCATAATAATTAGTTGTACGGTATTTTCTCCCTTTTTACTTCCTTGTACGAAGTAAAAAGGAAGTATTGTAATCGCGAAAAGTTTCAGGCAACATATTTTAACGAAAATATCCATTTTGACCGCTATCGAATGCAATTTAACAATGTTTTTGCGTGATACCTGTACGTAAGGACAGAATATAAGACTCTTTTCCTCCAAAAAAATTATAAAACTGCTTTAAAATGAATTCTGAAGAGAATTTTTCGTGGCGTCTGTACGAAACGTATGTACGTACGTATCTCGCAAAAACTCAAAAACGAGTAGCCTCAGAACGTTGAAATTTTGTATATAGGACTGCTATAACATGTAGATGTGCACTTCGTATTTTGGTTGCAATCGGCCGCACCAAACGTATATAAATATATTTATATATATATTCACTCTGTTACCCGGCTCACTGATCTCAGTTTCTTTACTCTTATATGTTTGTAAATTGTACATTTTTTGCTTTAAAAATGATTGAATTATGTTGGTTTTATATCTTCCGGTTAAGGTTTTTATTCCTTTCGTAATTCTGGAAGCAATATTTGTACAATTAGCAGCAATTTAAAAGCTGTTTAAGTGCGGTTAAGTTTTAAATAACATGGCGGACATATTTGTTTACATTTGAAACAGCAGAAATGTAGATTTGTTGCCAATCTAGAGAGACTAAGCTTCGCAACACAAAAATAACGCCTTCATTTGTTATTGCGAATTAAATCATGCTTAATCCTTTTGGGAATTTTTTCGAGGAAATAAATGTTTAAGATTTACTTCGCAATTTTTAATGCAGATATTTTGAGTTTTTATGTATTTTTGCCTTGTCGCTAAGTGAGAACTGAGTTAATTGAATGAGAAATACTAAATTGTCCGTGAAAAACTGTTTCTTTTCTGTTTTGTTTGCTTAATTTCTTTCATACATCGTTTTAGCTTACAATTAGTTTATTACAATATTTCAATAGAACATGTGGCAATGATAATTCTTCAAATCATATAAATTTTGTGCATTCAGAGTGTCCTTATAGTAAACCAATATAGTGAATTTTAAAGAGTGCATTTATTCTATTGTGGTTTATGCGCTGTCGACGAAGTAAATTTAATTTAATCCAATCAATTTAAATGAAATTCAAGAAAAAAATACGTATAATTTAATATTCCATACAAGGAAGTCATGTGGTGTACACATCAGATTTTTTTCAAATGTCTTCATAATGTAACTGAAAATATGATCGATGTGTATTTCGGAAGTCCGGAGCTCGAGTTCCGGCGAATGAACAGCGAATTTCTTTAGTTTCTTGTTATCAAAAACTTCTAAATGACTCTACGGGTTGCTCCCTAACTAAAAAGTGGTGGACGATGATCCGCATCACCAAGGATTTCGCGATTTGATCTTCTCATCACCAGCTACCCTTTAAAAGGAGGAGTATTTTCTCTCTCCTTTCCGCACAGTATAACTGGAAGCGTATTCGATGCGTATTGGGGATATCCGGAGTTGGAATCCAGACGAAAGCTTTCCATATTGGTCACGTTCTAGTATCGATATAACCTAATGACTCTATATAGTTACAAATTCTTTTCAGGATTAGTTATTTAATTTTTGAATACTTTAAAATTTCAGTATTCATTTAGAAAATTTTTTAATTTAATTTTTTATTTACAATTTTTTTCGATTTGTATCGTTTAGACCTAATCACTTCAGATACAAATGATTCATATTTAAACTAGGTATATATTTACATAGTTACGTTATCAAACACATGTAAATGTACGAGTGAAAATTAAGAAATTTTGAATTCCAAATGCCTTTGGAAAGGATGTAAAATGTCCAAAAACATTTCCACCACAAATTTTATGAATCAAATGAGTAAATATTATACTTTGTAAAAAATCTGTTATGTAATGAAGTGAATTCATGCTTTATTTTAGGTGTCATTAATTATATCCTGTCTTGGAAATGCTTCGTTCCGTTAGGTCGTCTTACTTTTATAGTCTACCTTATTCACCCTATAGTACAAATTGCTGCAGTGGGAAATGTACGGACTCAAATACAGCCTGATCATTTCTTTGCAGTGAGTATTTTTCAATTTTTGAACTTTTATATCAATATGCTTTATGATTTGGATGGAAGAAAATAAGAAATTAATTAGTTAACTTATGTTTCATAGCTTGATTTGATTCAGATATCGTTCACATAAATAAATATCCGCATATCTATCTATCTATATAAATATGTAAGATAAAAAATCCCTTTGAGTTCTAAAAATCGTAATAACTTCTCTGCGTCATTTCTAGATCATTCCATTTTCCATGGCCTGCGCAGCGCTGATGACGTTATAATTGGGAACTGAAACTTTTAACTCAAACCAAAACCTTTCTCTTCGCGTACTTCCATATTGCATAAATACGCACTTCAGCTTCGCTCTCTACTCTGCTAGGATGTCATTTTGCTGTCTTGCTTACTATCGCAATAATATCAAAAATGTAAATGTTCTGTGAAAAGGCACGACTAGAGTGCCTTTTCACAGAATCACAGAAGTCATTGTGGCCACAAAAGTCGGTTGCAAATAAAAATGGAATTAAAATTGCCTCGACTGCCAAGTTTCTTAGATATTACGAACTCCATATATTAGTATACTAGGCAATCAGAATGCTTCCTTTTCACTATGGATCTACGATCTATAATATCCAGGTATTACGCATCGAAGGTGCTCTGTCTTTTCGTTGCTATTACTACATACATATATATATAGAGAGAGAGACATACATACAGAGAAAGGTACATAGATGTAGATATATACGTATTTAATTGGATACGAATTTTCACGTGAAATGCAATGCTATCACATGAAAAAAAAACTGGTTATTAAGTTTCAAGAGTCTGTTCATAATGCCGAATAATTCGTGAACTGATAAAGTGTGCTCTTGAAAATTAGGCAATTGAAAAGCTACAAAGTGCGTTCGTATAGTAACCGGAAAAATTAAAAGACCGAACGATGAAATCAAAAAGTGAAAGAGTAATTGTGTGTTTAGAAAGAGTAACTTCTTGACTCTTGTGAAAGCGAGTTTAAAATGGTTATTTGGTCGTTTTCCTATCAAAATGCTGAACTCGTTTTCATTCGCTAGGAAGGCATTGTAGAAAACATTTGCTTTGAGTTGGAGCAACATTATAACTTCAAATGAAACGTTAGGTATAAATCTAAGAGAAAATGGTAATGTATCGTTATCAAGAACAGGGGTACAGTCGCTTTAAATGCGAGTGCAAAAGCGTGGTAGATGAACCAAATATGTTTCAAATTCAAAGAATGAGTAAAATATGGAGAAAATTCGTTCTTTGGTAAAAGTTGATAGACGTGCAACTATTCAGCAACTTTCAGATATTCTTTAGATAAGCAAAGAAAGCTGTAGGTTAATTTTAATTGGAAATCTGAAAAAAGAAGAAATTTTGTGCTGGAAGTAACCGTCTTCTTAAAAAAAAAAAAAAAAAAAAAAAAAAAAAAAAAAAAGGATATCGAAATTATAGACAAGGGTGATGCTGGTTGCATTTTTTTATTAGAAAGAATTAATTCACCATGAACTTGTCCTTGAAATTGAATCAGGTATTCAATATTTTTACAAGAATGTGCTTTTTCGATTAAGAAAAAGGATAAGGACAATTGTTTCTTTCACACGGATAATTGCCACTTCACACGGATGTCTACTAGACCTCATACAACATTGTCTGTAAAACAATTGCCAGCTAATTTTTTTCCTTTCGTCGGAGTTTAAGATGGCTATGAAAAGACACAGATTTGAAAACTTCTCGGGTATTAAATGAAATGTTACGTGTGTTTTGCGAACGGTTAGTTCCAACGCCTATAACAGTGTTTCTATGATTTCAGAACGTTGGAAAAATTATATATACTCCTCTGGCGATTATTTCGAAGGAGATGAAGTTATTTGAAGATTAGTAATCTTTTTTTTACTTGTAAAAAATTGTTCGGTTTACGAGCACACGTTGTATTTTGCGTCTTACACACATCATTGTAAGGAAATATTTCCATGCTGAAATTGTAAACTGCTGAATTTCAATTTAATGGGACTGCTTCAGTAACTGCCAAAAGATGGATCAACCTATTTGTGCAAAAAGTTCATTTTGTATTTATATGCAGATATTTATTTAATGTAAATGGATTCTAGTATTTTAAAATAAATACCTAAAAGTTTGCAGTGTTTTCATTAACAGACATATTATTTTAATAATAATTAATTTAGTTTTTCAGAAAGTGCAAATGTTTATCAAGGCACAAGTCAATCTCTCAAAGTAAACAGTACTAAGTTGTTACAAACAGGCTGAAGAATAAAACTATCATAAACGGATTATAATTATTTATTGCAAAATTAGTTTTATAACAATGTTCTCTTTTTTTATTTTAGGTATGGGTCTATTTTGGTCATCTTTGTGTAACATACGGCATTGCATTTGCGGGCACTATGCTGATTGAAGCGCCTTTCTTGTCTCTAGAAAAGATTATTATTCCAAGAAAGGGTGAAAAAGAAGACGTGCCTTCCGCGAAGGAAAATAATATTCTCAAAGGAACTCTTCAGCTGGAGAAAAATGGCGATATAGCTATTATCGTTCCCAATGACTCTGAAGAATCTTTAGGAATCGATAACAAAGCAATTATATACAAATTGTAATTGATTGCTTTAAGAAAACCAAATACATTGTGCCAAAGGCGGTTAGCATATATATATATATATATATAATTTGGATTTTTTTTCTTAGCTATACTCAAAATTGCAAATGATAATTATATATTCTGTTCTATATTTATAAATATAATGTCGATTTTTTTTCTTAGCTGTACTCAAAATTACAAATGATAATTTTTCTTTTTGGAAATCATATTACTTTCAGATATCCATGCACAAAAACAGTTAGCTGATTTATAAGTTAACATAACTGTAATCCAGGCACGCCAGATTCAGTATTTCACGTGGACAAAATAGCCATCAGTCTATAGAGTGCGAACCGCTTGAAACAAAGTCATTTTCATATTTAATGATATAATAAAAAAGTAAAATTGTACGTAAAATTATACTTCTTAAAACAAATAAAAGGAAAATAAGGAAATCTACGTTAATGAACGTATACCTAGTGTTTCGTTCAGGACATCAGCGATAGTTTAGCTGCAACTAGCTTTTGGCCGTCTGAGACGCTGTTTACACTAAAACTGTCAGAACAAAGATCATATGAATGTCGTTTGTCTAGATATCGTTGGGTATTTCATAGGTGAGAAAAGCTGTTCAATTCAAGCAGACTAGAACAGCTACTGTAACTTCCTTGGTTCAACTAGTATCTACCGGTAGAATATGAAAATTACTTGAGATACAAATCTGCAGCTTCCTGAGAACTACACAGGCAAGTACATGTAAAATTCGGGGATACCCACTTCACTGGATTTTTGCTTTAGAAATTATGTTCTACCGAATTTCTAATAATTCCATCTGCAAATAGGCTGTTACTTCCTCAACGTCAGTTGAGGTAATAACAGAGTCTCTAGAGTCCTATTTAGCATCTGAGATTGTACATATCATATTTTCATATTAAGTGAAATTACAATTTTGATTAATGTACTAGAATTTTATATTTTTCATTAATTCTCGAAGTGCGTCTCCGAACAATGAGACAAGTCTCGTAAGTCTTTATATGCCATAAATGTAGCTGTCACATGCAACAACAAGTTAATGTATGTACGGAAAAAATACTGCATATAAAAAGTACAATTCCCATTTAAAGGAATAAAAACAATTTTTTTTAGCTATACTGTATTAGAACAAACTAAAAGTTTGAATATCGTTACATAGAAATAAAAGCTAGGCTAATGGAAACCTAAAAGTTCTATATTGGAAAATTTTACAATCCCATCACATAAAAGGAAAAGCAAATAATTTGCTATATATTCCGCAACATTTTACGTATGATTTGTTTAATAGGTACTTAAATTACCTTGCCATTTGAAAACGTTTACATTTAAAATCTTTTTCGAATTCTTGACTTTAAAGATGTGAAATGTATTCCCTCTAAATGTACAAGAGATTGTGGAAATTTAATAAGTGAAAAACAACATCGGAGAAGCGTCTAGTCAATAAAATCAAATTATGAACTTGTATTTACATAACTTGTTAGTATTTATCAAAAATGCAATGATATGCAACAATTACTTACATGGTTGGTTAATGAAGATAACATAGATGGTTAACATAGTTGGTTAACATAGATGGTTAATTACATCGTAAATGATATCTTATAATACTTACTTGGTAAACTTTAATGGTTATATGCATGGTTAATCATATCACATGGAAACACTTACTTACATGGATAAAAGTTTCTTCACGTGGATTCAGAAAAATACAATTAAAAAATATTGTATTTTGTTGAAATTTACATAATTTAATTTTTACAATGTAAATTTTATTATAAAAATTAAGGGATGTTCCAATTAAACGTTTTAGATATAAAACGAATAGACTATATTTATCTAAGCAGATTTGAACGGATATATTTTTATCTAATACCTTCACAATTTTTATTTTTCTGTTTATCAAAGCAGGAAAACTACTCTTTTAAATATTTTATCGGAAGCGTTTATTTTAAAGTATCAAAATGTATGAAAATTTGATTCTGATAGGTTCTCTAAAAGTAATATAGTGTTAATAATAATGCATTAAATTTCTTAATATATTTTAATGAAGAATGCTTATATGTTAATAATATGTGTTAAATTTGTTAATGAAGAAATGTACACGTAGCGTAAAGAATATTTGAAATCACTAAGTTAGTTTTTGAAACGTAATACGTTGAAAGAATATTATTTCGAATAATTCGTTCATTGGTACTTAAAATTTTAATAAAGAAACCGTTAAATCTTCTGTACATTAATCTTCTTGTACTTAAGAGTACATTAGTAATAACTAATGTACTCTTAAGAAGTAATAATTCTGTACATTAATCTTCTTGTACTTAAGAGTACATGTAATATTTTGAAAGAATATTATTTTGAATAATTCTTTCATTGATACTTAAAATTTGAATAAAGAAACCATTAAATCTTCTGTACATTAATCTTCTTGTACTTAAGAGTACATAAGCAATCGAGCAATTCCTTAGTTGAATTTGTATATAATGTATATAAATTATATCGTAATAATTCATAAATAATTGTACATTTTGCATTTTCTTGTTTTGAAGAGAATTATTTCATTGTTCTTTAAAATACCAACTTTAAAGATTTCCTTAGTCTCACTTCTAACTTAACACTCTGACATGCACGGGATTTCACTAAATACCCGAAACCTGCCGTGAGAAATTGGCATTTACTTTATTAGTAGTACTTTATACCTAGATTTATTCACTTTTAATATATTGATTTAATTTCGTGGGCATATTTCAAGATGCACGTATATATATATAGGTATTGTTTAACATATTTTAACGCCTTAATGTGTCATTCTGTGCGGACGCGTCGGGAAATTGGAACAGAGAATTGAGACTATTAAAATTTCCAAGACACTTTGTCTAAATTTTAAAAAATTTTTAGCGAAAATGTTTCAATTGTCTGTTTCGGCGAAACGCGTAATGGGGTTAGCTTGATTCGACATTCAAATAAATGAAATTTCCCTTGAAAAGCCTGTTTGGAGGTCGAATTGGGCTAATTTACCATTTTCCGCTTACTTTTTATCTTTTTCTGTTTTTTAATGTTTTACATGTCTAATGGTTTGATTTTCATATGTATTAATTTTTAAAACGTGCTGAACCTTTTGGAGCAGCAGCTCTTGGTAACTTTTAGGCGAGCTTACTACAATTTTTATATTTTACTTATTTTGCAGCATATTGCGCAAGATGTTTTCTAGACCAAAATTGGTTTTTTTTAAATTATAGTTACTACTTTGCTTGATAAATTATATATATATATTGTTTTAAAAGAATAAATTGAATTTAAATACAAATTTATATTTTGCAATATTATTTTAACTTTAAATTTTTTAAAATTATTTTAACTTTTTTACGTATACATGTTTGCTAAAAAATATATATATATATATACGGCCTTGCCGGTCAACCAAATAAAAAGAAAATGCAAAAATGTCATTTAATGTGCTTGTATTTTTATCATGATGTATTTCATTTTTAATTCATTATTTATGTAAACTTCATTTTTATCATCAAGCAATAAAGCATTTTTAAGAATTTAAAGGTTTATTTTAATTCCTCTAACCTGAAGAAATTTTCAGCACAAACACCATATCAGAGCAGTGTTAACCTGAAAAATTTAAATAAAATCTGAAAGCGTTTGATCATATGGAATCAAGGAAAAAGGAAATTATATTTGAAACTTTTTATTAATTTATTAATATTTATTTAGAAAAGATTTAATAAAAGAAAATGCTTATTTATTTGAAACTTTCCTTTGTCATAAATTTTTATAAACTAATTAGACAGAAAAGGACTTGTTAATTAAAAATAACTGGCTATAATGACCACTTTAGATAATGCAGTACAGAATCAACAATGCTAAATTACATAAGAAAGCACATTGAAGGTATTTTAAATAATTATAGAGGTTTTGAACGCTTTCAAAATATTTTTATTGTATAGGTATTAGTTTAATTTTAATATAGTAATATGTGTGACTACCTAGCTAATAATGTTTTTTAAACAGTCACTCTCAATATAATTCTCCTGATTTTTGCTTAAATTTTTAATATTACATATTTACAATAATATATTGTAAGACGTACAGCCATGCAAAATTACTTACACATCATTCTATCTGCGAGATTCTTTTTCAAATCAATTGATGGTCTGACAAGATATTGTAATTTTAGTTCAATGAAGCAATCAAGTGTTGCAACAGTATTACAATATAAAGGATTTTTGAACTTGGGATTACCGTTGTACACTTAAGAGTTAAAAATTATTGTTTTGCATGAAAAAAATTTCTTTATAACAATATGAAAAGCATGGAAAAACCTTGAACATAAAGCACGAATACTGAAATAAGGGGAAAACTTTCAAAACTGAAGAATTATCGGCATGCAATTTTACATATGTATTACAACTTTCCTTATTCTTTGTCTGTATACGTTAAGAAAATGATCGTTTATTTAACTTCATTTCTAAAAAAATTAAAATATGACCTTGAACGGAGCAAAGTATTGCACCTGAAAATAGAAAATCAAGAGTACTAAAATAACCTCTCAAAGCATGTTTTACGTTTCTCTTTCTTTCTGTCTCGTTTTCAACAATGGTTCATTATAGAAAGAAACAAAAATCGTAATAGCTTTTCTTCCAATATTGTAATTAGATCAAATTGTTTTTACCGTGGAAAAAGGAAAAAACAGCAACTTGAAATTATCGAGGAATAAGTTTGTAAATATATGAAAATTTTCTAAATATATTATACTTATTAGTTACAGAAAACAGAGTTATTTTGTTGCGTCACAAGAAAAGATTTATACATTTACTAAAATGTTTCGAATGAGAACGAGAGTTTCGGGCGTAAAGAAAGGCATCAGAGAGATTTTCAAAGAAAGACGTAATGACTAAACAAAGAATTATAAAATAAAACAAATTACAAAATATGAAATCGATAATAAAACAAATTTCAACTTAAAATTAGCGCTTCCACATGCTCATATTCTATGGAAGATTATATTATTCAAAATCTGAGGCCTCTAGGTACCATTGTTTTATCACAATACGCGAAACATACATACATTCATGCAGATTCTTCATTATTTAATTTCTTTAAATATAATATAGGGCAATAATATTTGGTGGCAAATTTGAAAAGTGAAACAACGCTTATTGTGAATCGACGCAAAATGCCCAAACCAAATTAATAGCCCTTCTGGGAAAATTTCCCCTTTGGGCTAATAACTAAATAAATAATAAATATTCCTAATTTAGAAGTTTCAACATTCTTTCTTTTCTTTTGTTTACAAAAAAGGATGGAGAAAGTTTGCTTTGTAACTTCTGCAAATTTCAAAACTTTATCAGATATAGTTTTGGATGTTGGAATTTTAAAATTCTAAAACTGAATGTGATATCTAAAACTGAATACGAATTACAGTAACATTTTAAAAATCAACTTATAAAATGAGATGCTGAGAAAGATACATTTAAATGTATACGTGGAAGAAATTATAGATGAAAAGATATTTGATTTAAAAAGAATATTAAGCATTTTACTCTCTGTAATTTTATTCAGTAAACCGGAAAGGCGAAAGGAGATTAATGAAATACCAAGCCCTAAATACATAATCTATTATTTCAGAAAAGAGTTTCTAAAATGGTCGTAGAATACATCTGTATCAAGCCTCTTTGCAAATACTTTCGAGTGCTAGGGAAAATATTTGGAAATAAATAAATAATAGCAATACTACAGAAATCTATACGTAAAAAATAGTAATAGACATAATGACATTATATTCTTGAAACAGCATTTTCAAGGAAAACCAAATATTGCCGAAGGAAGAATGAGAACTTCCCATTCTGCTTAAAATCCTGCAACGATAAAGTTAAAAAATTCTGAAAGATCACATAATTAATAATGTTTGTTCTTGCTTTGAAAGAGAACAAAAGAACTCATAATATGCAACAATTCCAGCATTTTATAACAAATACATCTTTGGATGTTACTCGAAATAATTGAAACAATTTTTTAATTTTCAGCGTGATCATTGAGAAATTGTGTTCAGGTGTATTTATTTCTGAGGACCAAAATTTCGTCTACTGCTTTAATCAGATTTTAGTATATCCCATTCCATGGTATTTGAAGTCAGGGTATTTATTATGGCAAGTATGTATTATTTTGCTGCTCTAAAATGCCTAGTAAATAACACATCTTTCTACGAGATATACGGATTAAATTATTTTTTGTATTTAGGCCTAATTTTTAAAAGATTAAGTTTCCATCATTTTTTATTGACAGCCATAACATGTACCTTTTGCTTTTTTATCTTTGAATTTATCATTTTGTATTTTTATTGCATAAAACGGTTAGCTTTCCCATTTTCTAAATTTTCAAACTTGCATACTGAAAATTTGGAAATTTCCGAAATAGAACTAAATTTCCAAAACTCTATAAAATATTTCAGTTAAAATTTTTATTATTATTTAGTCTTAAATGAGCAAATCATGTTTAAGTTTTGAGAAAAAATTGAGAATACAAGACTGATAAATATTTCTTCCTCAAAAAATAATAAAACATAATTACTTTTAAATACATTAATACAGAAATCTCAGAATTTCGATAATGCTGCTTGCTCACAACTCAAATGTTTCTGCTCAAATTAAAACTGTAGTTCAAATTAAATGTGTAGTAGAAGTGTAAATAATGACAGAAAGATTGTTTGGCAGTAAAAATGATACGTAGACGTTTCCTTAAAATTTATCTATTCATTTTGAAGTATAGAATAAAG